GATACTAGGATTAAGGGTGTGTGATTACTAAACCGCTACACAGGAGTGATTGGTTTGGCAGCACCCTAATCCTGGTAGTTTGAATAAAATAAAAGAGGCAGAAAGACGCTTGTTGCTTTTTCTGTCTTCCACTCTCATGAACTGTTGCCCCTCTGCCATGTGCCACTCTGCCTTGGAGCCAGCTGATTGTGGAGTGAAACCTCTACAAAATGTGAGCTAAATAAACCCTTTTCCCTTTAACTTTGGGTGGTGGGTATTTTGTCTCAGCAATGAGAGAAAAGTAACTAACACACTGCAGAAACCCAGAAGATCATGAATACCTACACTGAGAATCTATACTCTCATAAGATGGAAAATTTAGAAGGGACAGATTCCTAGATACATATAAATTACTAATGCTGAATCAAGGAGATAAAAAAATTCTAAATAACCCTATGTCAGTCAATGAAATTGAAGAAGTACTGAGAAGAAGAAAAAAAACTATTAACAAAGAAAACCCCAGGTCCGGATAGATTTACTGCTGAATTCTACAAGAACTTTAGAGAAAAGGTACCACTGCATTAAGATGAAATCTACCTATTCACTGTATTTTTTTCTTTTTCTTTTTGGTACTGGGGATCGAACTCGGGTCCTTGCGCTTGCGCAGCAGGCAATGACCTATTCACTGTATTAACATGTGCATCTATGACAATATATAGGATGTGATCAAAATATATGATGAATGTTTAAAATTTTTATTACACTAAAAGATAAATTGCCATGAATCCTCCTTAAAAAACTCCCGCTCACTTCAAACACACATCATTCTTGCTATTTTCTGAAGCAGTTCTGGAAATTCTTCTTTGTGAATGGCTTTATGAGATGTGATAACAAAAATATGGTGAATGTGGCTACCAAGTGCCATCCAACAGAAAGGGAGGCTCATAAACACATTACAATGTGCTCTAATTCACTTAATTCACTGGATCTGGCACCAGGCAACTTCTAGCTCATCCCCAAAGTCAAAATCACCATGAGTGCTAAACATTTTGAATGAATTCAGGATATTGAGGCAGCTATGACAGCACAACTAAAAACAATCACAAAAGAGGATTTCTAGAACTGTTTCAGAAAGTGGCAGAAACAATGGGATAAATGTGTTCATAGTGAGGAAGAATATTTTGAGGGTCATGAATGGCAATATGTCTTTTACAGTAGTATAATTTTTTTTTAAAGTAAACATTCATCGCCTTGTAAATCTGCTGGAAACTTAGTTCACACCGTAAAAAGGTATCACACTGTACCAGGGTTCACTGAATTTTCCATTGTCACATGCATGTAGGATAGAACGTACAGTTTCACTTAATAATGAATGGTGAAGAGTGATATGTTTTATATATAAATGTCTCAAAGCTTCATGAGGTCATGGGTGGGGCTTTGGGAAGGTGATTGTATGATAACCTCATAGATAAATGTGATGTTGGGAGGTGAAGCCTGGTTGCTCCAGGGAAAAGTACATGTATCATTGGGTTTTGAACTCAGGTAGCTGCTTTTCCCCCACAGCATTCTTGAGAGGGAGGGAGGGAGAGAGAGAGAGAGAGAGAGAGAGAGAGAGGAAATACTCAGATGGGTATTTGGGAGATATTTTATTTCTTGTCAGTGATAACATGTGAGCTTTCTAGTAAAGATTAGAATTTTGGAAAACCTGAATCTGCCACCATAATTTGACAGATTCTCAATACTGGAAAACTGATGAGGTCAGTGGTGCTATTAAACAGCAGTAGAACATGTGATTTTTTTGATGCTGTAAAATAAACTGTGTATTTGGACTATCTGACACATCTGAGTAGATCAATATTTTCTAAATGACCACTGCACCATATTACAAAATCATGCACTAGTAAACAAACCATTGAAGATGCCAGGAAAGTTTTATTGGTATATTTCATATTTCACATATAAAAACCTACCACTTTTTAAATTGGATGTGGTTAAAAAGAGTCTAAGCATAATGATCGGAAAAAACTAAAAACAGCCTTCTCTTTTCTAACTGTACATATCCATGTGAGATCAGATTTTCAACCTTGTACTTCAACCAACACTTCATGTCATCCATTGAGCAACCTTTCCCTACTCCTCTCTCCCTTCTCATTATCTGCCTGCCCTTCTTGTCATCTGGTGACCACTTTTCTACTCTCTACTGCTATGAGATCAACTATTTTCAATTTCATGTATGAATGAGATCATGCAGTATTTGTTCCACTATTCCTGGCTTATATCACTTAATGTAATGTACTCACAGTTCCTCTATGTTGTTTCAAATGACAAAATTCCATTTTTGTGGCCACATAGTACTCCATTATAAAAATGATAAATGTTGAAAGTGACGGATATGATAATTGCCTCAATGATCATTATATAATGAATGCATGTATTGAAACATCACAGTGTGCCCCCCAACATGTATAATTATGTTCCAATTAAAAATAAAATAAAACTGTAGAGCCACATGTGGTGGAATATGCCTATTATGCCAGCATGTAAGAGGCTGAGGCAAGAGGATTGCTATGAGTTAGAGGCCAACTTGGGCTACATAGTGAGTTTATGGCCAGCCCAAACTACATAATGAGACCTTGCCTCCCAAAAAACAAAAACAAAGAAGAAAAAAATCATTTTACAACAGGTTGAGTGCAGAGCAGATATAAGAATCTAGCTTTTATTAAGCAAGACACTAAATATTTGCAAAAATTATAAGACAATACTGTACTGTTCTCACTATTGTTCTTTTGAAAGTATACAGTTTTTAATGACAATAATTGCATTTGTGTTAACATATGATGTATTTATTATTGTTCCTGAATGAATTAATAGGTATAGCACATTTTTAGTTTAATTTTTAATACAACAAATATAATAGGGATAAACTACAGAAAAAGAATCTCCTTAGGGTCCTTAAGAATTCTAAAGAGTATATATTACCTATTGCAGCCCAGTGGTAGGCAGACCATACATAGATAAACTTGATAGTTTCAAATTTGTACACTAGAGGCAGCTTTTATCACTTAATATGTTGTACTCAAAGTTCCTCTATGTTGTCTCATGACAAAATTTCTAAACTAAACCCAGAGCTATTTTTCATTTAATTTATAAAGTTTGGCTCTTGTATTTTTTTTTTTTTTTTTTTTTGGTACCGGGGATCAAACTCGGGTCTTCCACTTGCGAGGCAGGTGGCGGAACCACTGAGCTAAATCCCTGGCCCTGGCTCTTGTATTTTTAAAAATTGTTGAAGCTTGAATATGTTCTTAATATTTCCAGATTAAAAGCTTTTATGAGAAATAGAAGATGTTTCAATTACCTTGAAAAACAGCATGGACTGGCATTGGGGTCTATATTCCACATGGCCTATGGGGTTGGGTAGAAGCTGCCCTCTTCTGGGCATGCTTTCTAGTTCTCTTCCATTATTACCACTCCACTATGTAGTGCCCTTTGCTTAAATCTTTTCCTCCTGTGTAATTTTCATGGCTTCCTCAGCTCTTTATTGGTAATGTTTAATGTATATAGTTTCCTTGCTTGCAAGAAGGTGAGAAGAGCTGGTTGTATCTGGAGAGTTCTACTGTTCCCATCACAAGATAGCAAGAGCTCACAATATGAGACAGATATTTCTGAATTTGATCAAAGGTCTGTTTTAAAGCTCATTTTTCCAAATTTCCTAATACTCTGTTGCTTACTATGGCAAGTGGATGCGTATTAGTGCCAACAGGGTAGCTGAAATGAGGATTATACAATGAGCTTGGATTTAGGAGCCAGAATATGTCCATTTGAAGTCTGTTCCTACCCTTTGATAGTCGTGTGACCTTGACAAGTTACCTGAACTCTCTGTGCCCCTGTCTCTGTGTTGGGAAGATTAAGAGCTTGTATGTGACAAGCTTTTAGGACAGTACCTGGTACACAGTAATCCTTTGTTTAGACTAGATGTTTGGGTCCCTCCAAATCCATACATTGAAACCCTAACCCCCAATATGACTCTATTCCTAATTCTTATGTTAATTACTTCTAGCTGAGGACATTAAGGAGTAATTATGTAATAAGGGTAGCGACTTTGTGATGGGATTAGTGTCTTTATAAGAACAGACTAGAGAGCTTGTTTTCTGTATGCATCATGTGAGGATATAGCAAGAAGATGCTTGTCCATAAACTAGAAATAGAGCTTTCACCAGGAACTTTGATCATGGACATCCTTGACTCCAGAGGTGTGAGAAATAAATTTCTGCTGCTTAAGCCACTCAGTTCATGATATTCTATAATAGCAACTTGAGCTACAATAACCCTCATAATTGTCATATTATTTTTATTATTCTTTTGAGCTGAACTTGAGCCTGGCTGTGAAAAGGGAAGTAAACTACCTTATGATTTTGCTAACCAAAATGAAGTCTGTTCTTCTCACCTCATTTCATAGATTCCAGGAATTCTGGCATGAGGGCAGAAATCCCAGCAGATATTTTACAGTGACATGGAGTATCATATCATGGTGCTTGTGGACAGCCAAAAACACTGAAACTACCTGTTAAATCTACAATGAATTAGAGCTTGACTACAGGGCATATTAAAAGTCTTTTCATTTATTCATTCATTTTATTAGTCATCTCTGTATTCAGTAAGCATCAATCGAGTGCTTACTACGTAGGAGGTATACAGACATGGAAGTTCATGTTCTGGTTTGAAGTTAGAAACAACCATATGATATTTCTGTAATATAATGTGTAAATATTTTAATTCCTTGTTAGAAACAATAATGCACATTTCCATGGAATTGTGAAGAAGCTATTTTTTTTTTTTTTGGTACTGGGGATCAAATTCGGGACCTTGCGCTTGAGAGGCAGGCGGTGGCACCACTGAGCTAAATCCCCAGCCCAAGAAGCTATTTGTAATCAGAAGCAACTTCACCCAAATGAAGTATATCACTGATAGGAAATTGCCTTGAAAAGAGAAACAACACCACAACTCTTAGAAAAAAAGTTCTGTAAGTACCCAATTTATTAACAAAACAATACAGCTTAAATACTTATGATTTTTCAGTCATACATTTTTACCAACATTCCCAAAATGTTGCGCATTTGGTTGACATGTATTTGCAAGGTTAGGATCTATAATTATAACTCTGGAAATCATACAAGGCATTTGATTTGCTTTTTAATACCTCCCCTTGTCAAACAAACAACAAACTGATTATTTTGCCTTGTGATTTACGTCACCATCTCTCTGACCAAAAATAAGTTCTTTTTTGTGTCTTTTATCTTTGCAAAATGCCTGTCCATTTCTTTGAGAGAAGATTATACAACTGAAACATTTATTCTTTCACTCAAGACTAGCCAACCTATATTCAAACAGAACACCTCTGCCCTAAACAATGATTTTCAGGTATAGCAGACTAGTAGACTTTGGTCTCAGGAACGATTTTTAAAAGGTAAAAAGAAGCTCCACAATAAGCTCCAAGATCAAGTTAATGGAACTGGTATCTGAGGAGTCATATTGCATGGGCACTTGCCATGGACCAGATTCTATTGCTGTGGTTCCACTGAAGACTCTTTGAGGTCATTCCTAGGGATTGATGTAGAGATGGAACTATCTATGCAGCCTTGTGTGATGCTTCCTTTAAGGAGCAGCAGCAAGCCAGGAGGAGCACTTAACTGGTCTTATTAAAGAAAGAGGTGTGACTATAAATCAGTGAGACTGATTTGAGGTGTGCAGCATCTGGAATCAGTTTCATTACTTTCTACTCTCACCTCTGAGACAGGCAGGACCTGTATGCTATTAGCAGGAAGAGAGTGGTCTCAAGCAGACTAGGAGCTGTCCTGTTTTGGATGGTCTCTCTTACGACATCCTAAAGTCTAGAACCCCATTAACTCTCAGTGCAGTCCAAGGACTGCATGAGCATCACCTGAGATCTTGTTAGAGGTGCAGAATCTCAGGCCCCACACAGATTTACTTCACTAAAATCTTGATTTTAACAGGAAATCTTAGGTGACTTATGTGCACAGTAAAGTGTGAGTACTGTGTTAAATACCTCAGACTTCAAAAAGACTGCCTTTGGGTGGATAATATTCTTTAGTAGAAAGACCATTCTTAGCAGGGAGGAATTATAGATAACAACTGCAAAAACAGTGTGAAGGTTCTTTTTTATTATTTGAAACATGCAAAATACAGTCCATGCATCTGCCATTTTGAAAAGTCTCTCATCCTATAGCAGATAAAACCAAGTATGTTTTGGCTATCAACGTTCAGTAAATATTTCAAAATGCTTTACAGTGTAAAGATAATAAGAAATTTAGCAAAATTTCAACAAACTTGTATAAAAAATGGATACATATACCATTTTATTTCAAGGCTACATGCTGTAAAGAGTAAGTCATTATTTGTATTTCTTTGTAAAAAGTCTTTGACAACAACAAGGGCTTAATTAGATCCAGACCTTGAGGGGCTAAACATGCAAAAAAAATTGTCAGTTAAAAATCACCAAAACGTGCTATTTTTAAATGTGTATTATTTTTTAAATACAGGAGTAGAAGTATTAAATAGTAGCAGGAATAATATTTCAGAACTCTGTAAAAGTGTGTGGAATTCATGGTGCTAGCGTCCTGGAAGACTCATAGACTTCTGATGAACATTTTGGTTTAATCCCTTTGCCATTGTAATAGTCCACAACTTGGTTTGGGACTTCCGCCAACACACTCTTTGCAAGAGCAGCTGGAGATGCCTGTAGAGAAGAAGAAATTACTATGATTTGGCTCTTGGTCAAAAGAAGCTGTTTCACACTCAGGCTGAAAGATTTGAGTGACTTGTTTGAGACGATCTGAGAAGCTAGTCTCATTCATTCATTCATTCATTCACTCACTCATTTTAGTCTACTTCAAGCAAGTGTTGTCAGATTATTTGGAAAATAGGCCCTTAATTTCCTCATTCTATTTTTTTCTTCATTCTTGATTCAAAATATACAACTGTTCATATCTGAAAGTGTGGGAAATTTGGATGGCAGAATGAATGTCCTGCAATTTTGCTTCTGATTTGCATTCAGGTCTAGGCACCTGTTCATGGTCTAGGCACTATGCTAGGGTTTATGAGTCTATGTTTTTTTTCCAACAGGAAAGGTGTTATCATGTGAGGAAGGCTCATGTGGCTAAAATTAACCCTACTATGAGGTAGAACATGATATGTGCTACAGTCCAGCATCACATTACATAAGAGCTTATCAGCAATGTTGACTCTTAGACCCAACTCGGAACTCTTGAATCAGAATCTGCATTTTAACTCAGTGCCTTGGTGACTGGTAACTCCATACGATGTTGAAATTTGAGAAACATTGCTATAGAAAATCACACGCTGAGCAGAGAATAGGAAACAAAGGGACTAAATTACAGTGGAGAAAATGACAGCAGGCTTCCAAGAGAAGATTGTATTTAAGTTGGACATATTTTTAAAATGCTCAGAAAGGGTAGGGGAATGGCATTTGATCATTCTAGAGATAATGAGTCATCCAATGGGGATGAAAGAAGTGTTTGTGTGTGGTGGAGAATCAGGATTGGTAGGCATTCAACTGGAAAATAAGCTTCAGACCAAGGTCTTGAATACCACTCTAACTTATCCTAATTTTATCAGCATTATGCATCTGCTGTATGATTTGGAGCAGGGAACAGGACCATGTGATTCTGCAGCAGAGAAAGGTTGAGATTAACAGTGTACATATACTCTGGAGTCACACGGAGCTGGATTTGACTTGGAGCTCTTTCATTAAGAATTAACTGCACCTCTCTCCCCTTACCCCTGGCCAAGCAACTTCAATAGCCTGAGCATTAATATTAGCTGTTATTGCAGAGGTAGGGAGCTTGGGCAGATAACCAGTTAACAAGTGTCTGAGATTCCAGTAGACAACAGGGCTGATCTAAGTGTTAGATGGAATGCATTTCTAGTTTGTTTTTTTCTGTGGTTGGCCACTCAGTTAAGTATTTCAGCTTTGCTAAGCCTCCATGTTCTCAGAGGCATACAGGAAGGAAATAATTTATTCTAAGACAGTATCCAAATAAGAGACAGATATCTTCAAAAATCTGAAAACACTATGAAATTTTTTTTAAATTGATCTGTCTAATTTTAAAGATGTCATAGCATGTTGGGAATTCAACCTCTTCAGATGCTCTTTTACTTTATAAGTGACTGCTCAGGGTTATGTTAGACATGGTCCATTTTTCCATAGGGGCAGATACAAAAGACATTCCCAATGTTCCCCTGGCCATCTCTTATATAAGTGTCAGCATGCCAAAATACTTGATTTCCCAGCCTTCTTTGCATCTACAGATGAGCATGTAACCCAACTTTGAGATGTAAGTAGAAGTTTCCTAGAGGATATTTTTTGGAAACTTCTCTACCTGGTTCACAGGGATGTGCATGGTCAGCCCTGTTTCCTTTTCCCCCCTTAAACTAGAAAGTGATGTCTAGAGCTACAGCAGCCATTATAGTATTATGAGGGAACAGCAAAGGGAATCATAAACTGCTGACTCTCACATTACTGAATCACTGTAAAAGAAGAAACTGCCAGTAGCCACTGGCCTGCAAATTCTAGCTACATAAAAACAGAGTGTTTGCTCAATGTAGGGATTATTGGCATTTTGGACTGGATAATTCTTTGAGTGGGGGATCATCTTATAAGTTGGAGGATGTTTACCAGCATCTCTGGCTTCTATCCAGTAGATGCAAGTGGCACTTCACATTTGTTACCATCAAAATATCTCTGGATATTGTCAAATGTTTCCTGGGTAGTGAGGCTTGCTGACCCTCTTTCATTTAGTCAGTGTTCTTATGTGGAAACTTCTTTCTTGATAAAGTAGAAGACAGGATATGGTGGCACAATTTTCCCTCATTGTCCTACATTGCCCTGGAGCTTACAAGGGACTGCTGCTGCTGCTGGGTAAAGCCATTCACTTAAGCCACTGTAGAAAGGATTTGCTATCACTTGTAGCTACAAGATTACTAAAAAAGGGCTGTCACATACGTCTGCAATGATGGAAATATTCAGTTTGAAAGTCCAATATAGCAGTCACACACTTAGCATGAATGAAGAGCTGAGTTGCAAATTTTAATTTAAAAAAATTAAGTTTAAATAACCACATGTGATGAGTGCCTATCCTACTGGAAAGACAGGTCCTAAATGATCCCTACCCCTTGCATATCTGCTGGTGGCAAGCATGTAAAACTGCAAGGACATTGGTTGGTTGGGAGAAAGGCCAAAATATGTGAAATCAGTAGATGATAACAGTAATAAAAACTGTTTATATTAGCCCCCTACATGGAACAGGCACTGCACTAAGCTTTAAATAGACTCTACCTTTACTCTTCCAATGAATTTACCTTATTTTATAGATGAAATATGTGCTGCAGAGAAATTAAATAACTTGCCCAGAGCTATATATCTCAGAACATGGGTCTCTGTACTTTGAAGCTCTGAGTTATACAGAACCGAAAGACAGGCAGCTCATGTTTTACTGCTTATATGAAATGATAGGAGTGCCTCACCTTTTTTATTTATAGCTTACTGAATTCCAAGTAGATTAGTTTGGATAATGAAATGGTTTTCAAAATCTAACTTGAAATCTATGAAGATAAGGGGGTAAGTATGCTCCTAGCTCTCTGCGTTGGTCAACCCCAGAGCTACCGGAGCATCTGCATAGCACAGAGACAGTGAGCAGCACACTACCTCCTTAACTAGTTTGAGACTCTTCCCTTGTTGCCAACCAGTTTGAGGTACTTTCCTTGTTGCACTGCCCTTGTTGCCCCTTCAACTTCTGGCTTACCTAATCTCTGTCCTTCCTCAAATACCCAGCCCAAGCTGGTGAGCCTTTCTGCATGGCTCCATCTCTTGCCTTTAAGTCCTATAGAAACATTTTGGTTCTTCTCAACCATCATAGGTTGCTTCGCAGTGGTTTTCCAGCTTAACTGCTATCTTTGTCCTAATCATGGACTTACTTCACCAGCACATTCTTCAAGCCTGGACCCATGATTTTATTATCTTACTGTGGTCCTAGTATGTGCTTTGCACAGCACACGGTCCATGAGTGTGAGAGAGAGGAGGAAGTTTGGGGCAGAGGTGAGAGCCTTTCATGACTTGATGGCATTGTCCTTGTACATGGATGTGTCGACAACACATGTGGGGGGCAGAGAGAGGGTATTCTGGGGAAGTTCACGAATCTCCTAGGGCATGAGCTCTTTGGATCCTCCCCCTGGGGCAAAATGATGGGTGGTGGTCAGTGGAGAAGTTATATTTTTTGTCTGGTTGACAAAATGCAGCAGGACATGAAAATCTGGAAGAACACCCTTCCCTGTACCTTAGGCACCTTGGGAAGTAAATAGCTTCTCCGAACATCCCTGTATCAGATTTGGCCTGGTCTACCACATCCTGCCTTGACAGAATACTACTTCTTGTTGACTCTACTTCATGTGCAGACAACTTGGTGAGCCTCTTTCATGTAGTGAATGCTTTTATGTGGAAAGATCCTTGGGAAAGTGGAAGATGAAATATGGCAGCACAGTCACCCCTCACCTACAGGCACTGCCCCCAGATCTGGCAACTGCTGCTGTTACTTGAAAACTCTCTCTGTACTCAACTCGGCAGCCAGGGATGTTTTTGTTCCTTTAATGATTTTAATTATGCTGCAGTCCTCCTTAAAAAGAGATTAGTAATTTTGTGGTAGTATAGTTATGAACAAATCTCACTATTCAAGGAACATGCTGTAGTTACTTCCTTATGAGGTCTGGGCAAGTCATGAGATCAGGGTTCTGCTGAGGCTGTGGGGATGGTGATTTATCTGAATGCTCACTAGGAAGCCTGTCCTCAGATGTTAGCAGAACAAACAGCCATTTCTGAAGAGTGCCTGCTACAGACTCTAACAGAGAGACAGTCAGGACCAGTGTAGCTAGGGGGCCAATGTGAGTCCAGACTAATTCAATATACCTGGCCATATCTGATAAACTAGCTATGAGGAATGTCAGGGATGTATTTGAAGGAGAGTTTTGATGGAAGGAGAAAGGCTTTGCCAAATAAGTGTGGGATGGGAAAGCTTGGTGTGGATGGCAGGGTACATGTGCCTTTGCCACCCTGATCAAAATAGCTGCCTTGAGCCTCAGCAAGGGTCCACAGTGGAAGCTAACAAAGATGCTTCCAGCAGGGACTCATAAGATGAAAGGACACAGACTTTTCTGCATGAATGATCCAGGTGACAAAGGGGAGACATCATGTTGGTAAAGGAGGGGATTCTTTTTTCCCACAGAGACTGCAGAGCAGTTTGGGTTTAGTCACCAGTTGCCAGGAATGGTGACCAATACTGATGGCACCAGCAGCAGTGCAGATGGCAAAACTGTCATGGGGAGCAGGGGTCGGAGGCATGCTCTGCTTTTGGGCAGCTTTCATGAGAGGCACAAGACAAAGGAGTACTGAGGATGGTCTGTGACCACCTGTCATACCCCATGGGCTCTCAGACATAATTGGGAGAAGCTTGGAAGGAGCCTTTTATGAACTTGGGAAGCTATTCTCTGGGTGATCCTAGCTCCAATAGGTACAGAGGTGTGGGTTCATTTCAGACGTACTCCTTTCTCCAGGGACTTAATAACATGTAAAATTTGGAAATGTGAAAAAATGGTTACTGAGCACCTTTTCAATATTATACCTCAGTATTGTCTAATGGGCCTGCTAGGATCACTGAGGAATGTAACACTGCATTAATGCTTATTATTGCTAAGGGTCCAGGACTGTAAGTTAGATGTTAATTTGTAGAAGACTTACTACCATGCAAATGGTTTCTGTTCATTAGAGAAGTACTTCAAAGATTACATTTTGCTTGTTTCAAGACTCGCTGGTCTGTTTTATAATCTTTTGAACCTTTGTTTTGTTTTTTGAGACAGGGTCTCACCATGTAGTTCAGGCTGGGTTTGAACTTCTATGAAGCTCAGGTTGGCCCAAGCATACCTGTTATCCCAGCACAGAAGATGTGGTTTTCTTACATGATAGAGTACTACTCTGCCATAAAGAAGGGTCTGCTTGAGACATTCCTAGCTAAATGGTTGCACCTTGAGACTATACTCTTAAGTGAAATAAATCAGACACACATATTGAAATACTGCATTGTTTCTCTGGTATGAGAAACCAAAAGTGTCAGTAAGGACCAAAATGCATAATAGATGTTGGAAAATGGGAAGGAAATGTTCAAATGAAAGGGGGAACACAGAGGGGGAGAAGTGACAAAAAAGAGAGACTAGAAGAAAAAAAATGGAACAAAGCTCTTATAAATAAGGAGGCAAGAGGAGGTCGAAGGGAGGGGAGGGAACTGGGAAAAAAGAAGCAAGATATATCATGTACAGGTACAAATTCCCTATGATGAATGTGATCATTACGAATATTTAAAATATACCAATAAAAAACCGTGTTGGTCATTTGGTAATTAACTTGTCTACTTTAGCAAACTAATACCAGTGTCCCTTCACTGACTATAGTAGACTGCTTTATGCAGTCCTTTGAACTAGCTTGAATGAGTTAGTAAATCTTTAATGTTGCACACTCTATGGAAGATTTAGGGTCCTATCATCTTGAAAACGTATTTTACCAAGACAAAAACAAAATCCGAACCAAAGCCAAAGCCAAAAAACACAGATTTCAACATGGGCACATGGTGTGACAAGTAGGACCTAGGTTGAATTTCAGCTTATCCTTGACACTTTGGCCAGGCACTTTGGACAGGCAACAAGCTGCCCAACTGTACATGGCAGCCCTGGTGGCACTAGAGATCCTAAATTATATGGATGTGGGCAAGCATCAGCAAACGTTTGGCTACCATAGTTAGCACAGCTTCTATCTATAATCCAGTTTACATTTTTTTCTCTAAAGAGTCATGTTCTACCTATCCTATCTTTGGGTAGCTAGTGTTCCTTCAAGAATGGCAGGACACTACAAACACAGTGGACATGTTGGGGAGGTGAGCATGCTTTGGTTCTCTTCTCCCACAGGAAAACCCTCACGACATATGTGCATACGTGTTTGAAGTTCCTGAAGGGCACAAACTGGACGATGTCTCGAAGGACAGGCTCTCCCTTGGGCGACCTCAGAATCCCGTCGTCACCATCCAGCATCTGCATGTCACTGAAGTCAGCGTTCCCCACGCCCACAATGATGACGGACATGGGGAGGTGGGAGGCATGGACAATGGCCTCCCGGGTGTCAGCCATGTCTGTGATGACACCATCCGTCAGGATCAGCAGGATGAAATATTGCTGTTGTCAGATGCCAGGCGACGATGGGGGTGGGGAGTGGGGGAAACAAGGACGATACAATACCATTAGGCAACTAGTGGTTTCATTTCCTGGTGGCCATAGCAGTAGTGATGACAAACATTGTTTGAGTACATTTACTGGGCAGCCCTAAAGGATCAAGGTTATGGTGAATGGAGCTTAAAGGAGGGGCATAGTATTTATAATAATCACCTTACAGGCAGTTACAAAGCACAGTGTGGTAGAGAGAGTAGGAGAAAGGAGTCAGGAGAAAATCCCCTATTACCTCTGGGTCTTAACTTCTTCATTTCTCAAATGAGGGGTAGGACAAGATCATTTATATGATTCTTTTCAGCATGAAGATTTTCCAGACTTGAAAGCTATGCTTTTCCACACAAAGCCACCAGCCTTAAGAAGCTATTGAGTCTGTGATATTGGTTAGAATAATAGAGGAATTTTAATGACTTTAAATTTAACTGAAAAAGATGGATACCCAAGATTAAAATACTCTGTGCTGGGGATCTAGTGCAGTGGCAAGATCCTTGCTTAGCATGTGTGAGGCCCTGAGTTCAATCTCCAGCACTGGAAAACTAAAAAATCTAAGTTGCCATGTTTCAAAGGAGAAAAGCTGAACAGAAGAGCCATAGTTTGAGTATATCTTGTTTTGAGAATCATATACTTTAAAGACTGCAAATATAAAAATGACTGGGAGTAGCTACGCTTCAATAAAACTTAATGGACACTGAAACTTGAATGCCACAAAATTTTCATGTGTCACAAGATATTTTCTTTTGTTCTTTTTAAAGTCATTACAACTATAAAGACTTTTCTTGATTGTAAGCCATTGAAAACCCAGCTGTAGGACATAGTTTGTTGTCCCTTGAGCTAGAGCAGGGGCTATGGGGCTAAATCTGGTCTAGGGAGTGCTGAAAGATTTCAGGCAGCTTGTGAACTTGGGGGTAAATTCTACCTTTTATTTTCATTTATCTATGATTGAAATTTATCATTTTTCAGTTATAAATGTAATCATCAAATTAGTGCTAGTTGTATCTGTGACCTAGCTATAGAAATTACAGATATTTCCTGTTATATTACAATGGCTACAGACATTTCAGTGGAACATTTATACTTAACACTATGAATAAATTATAAAATTAGACTAGGTCGGGTTTTCATAATTGAATATGTAAATAAAAGAAGCATGTTATTAATATATTTACAATGTTTCCATAATGCTTTTAAGAGATATTTTGCTAACTTGCATTCATTTTAATATAATTGTTTTACTTTATATTTTATTTTGTACACTTAAAAACACTTCTGAAAAGGGGTATATGGGCTTTACCAGTTGCTAAATGGGTCAGTGGAACAAAAAATGTTAAGAACCCCTGGTCTGAAGAGATTGTCAGGATTCACGATTCTGACCCTTTCAGGTTTAATCTAGTTAGGGATAATAAGCTACAGACTGCTTGCTCCAGTCCTTGATGGAAAGTTCTCATAAAGCTAGTAGCAACAAAATTTGGAAGTTTGGAAAAATGCTTATAGAGAAAATATTATAATCTTTGAGTGTACTTAAGGTCCTATTTGGATAAGGAGGGCCTTTTTTTCTAGAAGATTTCTACAAAATCAAGGAGAATATCTTACAGCAACAGACTGCCTGGCACAGTTTGCCTAAAAAGTTTAAACTCCTGACAAGGGATCTTAGATCTGGAGATTTAACATTTAGAAGTCAAGAGGAGAAGGAAGAGGGGAGAGTGGTAGAACGAGACTGGTAAAGAGTGGCCAGTGAGACAAGAGGAAGTGGTTCTAAGGAAGCCAGGTGAAGATGTATTCAGAGGAATGTGCTTCATCACCTGGATCAAAAGCCATTGATGCATCAAGATGAAGTCATGTTCGATCCCTGGGTTTGGCAACATAGGGTACTTTTGACTTTGGCAAGTGTAGTTTTCAGTGTCATATTGGTGAGGAAAGACTGATGGGTTTGGGTGGAGGAATGAGAAAGGGAGATGGAGACAGTGAGCACAGGCAACTCCTTGATGAATTTTTTCTAGAGGGGTGTAAAGTGTGGACAGTTGCTAAAGGGTAAAATGGGGTCAAAGGGGAGATGATTTTAGCTTAAACAGGAGATACTATAAAATATTTACTTGCTAATGGGAATGACTGTCCACTAGAAAAGGGAAAACAGGGAGAAAGAGAAAGAAAATAACTTCTGAGCCAGTGTCCTTGGATAATCGAGAGGGGACATGCTCCAGTCCATAAGAGTAGAGGTGGATATTAGGTAGAACTGTGGTCTTCAATCCATTGTAACATGAGGAAGGGGTAGGAGCACAGGTACAGTGCAAATAGGTTAGAAAGATGAGGACATAGAATATTATTTTCTTTATGGAAATATTGGAACCCAGGATCAAATTACACAGATAATTTCAAGCATCAGTGAGATTTTACTAAACTTGAAAAAAGTCATGACGCTAAAAAGAAATATATTGATGTCATTTAAGATAGCACATGGAAAAGTTATTGTGGGAATATAGTTACTTATAAAAATATTAGGGAAAAGGATCAAACTCTTTTTGGCCTTGTAGCCTTGGTTTGCCCTTTTCTTTAAAAAAAAGAAAGAAAGAAAAAGGAAAAGAAGAGAAATGTGAAATCAACATTTGCTCTGGTATTTTGTATTGCTGAACTTTATCACCAGAATGTAGGATCATCTACTGTTTAATTTTTCTGGTGCTTTCCTTCCATCTGTAGTATGAGTACACTGGAAAGCAGGCTTTTATCTTTCTTGAGACAGGAGGTGGGTAAGACATACCTCAGTAAATATAGCAGCTTCCACTGTTGGGTCTCCTGTGTTCTGACATTTGATGTGTTTTCTTTAAGACTCACAACCCAGCAGACTTGGGTTTGATTATCACCATTTTTCATGAGGAGACTGAAGATAGGGGAAGGCTAAGTCACTTGTCCAAATTCACACAGGTAGAAAAGCTGGAATTTATTGTCAGACTGAGATAGTTGTTAGAGCCAATACCCAGGTGAGAAAGGGTAGACTCCGTTAGCAGGTGAACTGCCTTTTTCCTTACCGATGCCTCCTTGGTGTTAGTCTCCTCTGAGGCCGACTTGGCAACCTTCTGAATGATGGGGGCAATGTTAGTGGGACCATAGAGCTGGAGCTTAGGAAGACAGCTCTGATAGGCTTCCACAACTCCTTGAATCCCTAGGGTGAAATTGGCAAAGATCAATAGTTCTATAGTCCCTTCAAATACATTTACAACCACACACATGTGCGCTTGTGCATGCATATACACACAAATGCACATACAATAAAGCATTACATTTGTCTAAATAGTCTTTATCAACATCACATTTACATTCTCAAGAAAAGGAATACTATATCATTCATGTTGCTGCTCCTGCCCCACTGAAATAATTCTCCTATTTAAAGGCTAAAATCAAAAGCAAACATTTCCACAAACTTTTTGCTAATATCCTATTTGACACACAAGATTTTATTAGACTCTGGTAGCATCATGAAGCAGATTTTATAGGTGAAGAAGCAGAGGCTTGGAGAGGTTAAATGATCTGCCCCAGGACAGACTGAAAGTGAGTTATAGACAGAGGATCTAAACCCAGCTCTGAGCTGTGCTTTCAGCCACTAGGCAAGTTGGCTTTAATCCTTCTTTATTCACACCACTTTATGGACTCTAATATATCCAGCTGGGCCACCTGGAAGAGTTATGTGTACATATGGCCATCTCTCCTTTTGGGTAAGAATCATGACTTACTCATTTTTGTGTTCTTCCAAAGAGTTTCAGGGAGTGTTGAACATAGGTAAATGCTCACCAAGGGTGTCATGGATGAGCAACATGGCTAGTGTCTCCTCTACTGGGGATGGGGGCATAGGCATGTGATATTCACCATCATTATCAATCTCTCCTTTAAAGGGGGGAATCCCATCTTGAGGCCATGGGCGCTGCTGGGAGAGGAACCCCTGGCAGTGCAGCTTCTCTAGCATGTGATGAATCTTGACCACATTTCATGCCATAAGTGCAATCCCACAGTAAGAGTGGCATTTACTCAAATGCTCCCCTTGGGGTGTCTGCGCTCCTGTGACCTCTTGCTTTTCCCTGTTTCAGCTGACCCTCTTATCCCTTTCTATTCCAAAACATCACACTGTTCCTGATTTTAGCCAGAGGGATCCACACAAGCTACTCCTGAGATTTTGTGCTCCGTTGTCACCACACATTGCCAATCAGCTCTTGGGTGTTCTGGATAAGAAAGTTCTATTCTGTTCTGCCTTATACATATACTTCCAACTTTATTGGAAAGATTGCACCCACTTTGTCCTGCCTCAAATACAGATGCTTGTCATTCTAAAGACAGATGCCAAATTACTAGGATGCTGGATTCTGAAGTTAAGAGAGGCCCAGTGAAAGCTCCTTATCATTTTTTGGTCTCAAGTTTTTGCCTGAGTTAAGCAAGTTTGTTTCCCTTTCAAAAACATCAGGCAGATGAGTTCCAAGCTTGTGAAACCATAAGCAACTTGGGTATGTATTTCATTCTGCTTTGGTGGAAAACTACTTTTATTGTTAAAGAGTAGGGGTGGCTGGGAGACAGGGGAGTGTAAATCATAAGAAACTAGGTGGGGAGGAATAAGGGGAGGGAATGACAGCAGACTGGGGATCACATCTTACAAATTACCTATCTTCAGACTCAATGATACAGATATCATATTCTAGGACATCAAGTGTCAAGTTTGTGAAAGAAACTGCTGGATGCTGTACATACTCTGCTGGATCTGAATTAATCCTGGTATAGCCTCCTTCCTCCTTGACAAGAAGGAGGAGATAAATACAAACAGTTCTACCTACATGTCTTAAAACCTTCATACCAACAAATGCATCTGACTCTATTTGTTATTTGGAAAATTCAAAAAAATTCTAGAATAAAACTTATCACCATGGTTTCAGTATCATTATTTTGTGTAATCATATAGAGTAATGTCTGACTGGAAGTAATGAAATGTAGAAGAAGCAGAGCCTCTGAGAAAGCTTTTCCTGGCACAACATCATGAAGATTCATGTTCAGAATCACTAAGGCCATTTCCATTGCCAACAGGTTGAAAGTGTCAAGTGATTTCCATTTCCCCCATCCTTATACCTGGACAGAGAGCAAATTGTGAAAAATAAATCCTAGGCAAAAACTTGGAAAATATAAGAAGGACGTCTCACTACTACAGAGTAAGTAAAAGCCTTCCTCTTCTTCCTCCTCTTCCTCCTCCTCTTCTTCCTCTTCCTCTTCCTCTCCTTCTCCTTCTCCTTCCTCTTCCCCTTCCCCTTCTCCTTCTTTTTCTTTTTCTTGCCAGAGGAATACAAGTTTGAGATCAATATTCTCCAATATTCTTGTTGTAAGCGCAAGATCATTTCTGCATTGCCTTTTCCAGCTTTTATTTTCTTGTTCTGTTGTCATGGTTCTCAGCTGCCTTTGGAGTACCATAGTTTACTGTGATCCAGAAAGCCTACTCTGCTGTGGACAGTCAATGCTACATCAGTGAAGAGAAACTAACACTGGGAAGGTATATACTAGGCTACGAGACACTGGCTTTCTTTCACACTGTGATTTACCTGCACACTCTGGGTTGTCTTCATTAAAGTTGATTGCAAAGTCATGAGAGACCTAGACACCAATTAAAATTTAAAGAAGGAAGAAAAGAGAATTACAACTTTACTCCAGTAAGAATCCACCGGGATGTGGAGTTTGCAAACAAATGTGGTTACATTCATTAAGCGTTAAGCAGCAGGAACCATTTTAAGCCATTACACAATCAATCTCAGATAGAGGGTGAATTCTAAATTCCCTGTGGAGTTGAGGTGACAGCAAGATGTTCTAGAATCTAGATAAATGCTGGCAGTAAGGAAAAATAAGATATAAAATTCCAAGAAATTTCAGAAAAATGCATTCCAAACAATTTCTAGGTAGAACTGGCTACAGACTGGAGGCTTAGGTGAGCTCTATTTGGACTCAGTGACTAAAAGAAATAACTCATTTACCCAAGCTGTCTGCTTAACATGGTAATGCTTATAAAATTTCCAGCCAAGCTGTTTAAATTTAAGAATCATTCTAATGTGATAAGCAGAACTATAGGCAGGAAGATTTTCACATATATACAGGTAAAACATATTGAATTCCACTTTTGAAAAACTAATAGAGTAGTACATATACCCTGTCATCTTCCAACACAAATCCCTCTACCTGACAGGAACTATGTATATGGTCAAATAACACATTACTTATTTTTTTCTTTCCAAATACAGTACCCAATAAAAGAAATGGGATGTCTGGCATGTGGACATGTTTCTTGAATCATATGATAGAGAATTCCATTTCAAAGGCTATTTCTGCACACCCAGTCTCTTGGGTGCTATAAAATAGCTTACTGTGTTACAAGGCACCTCCTTTCTTACTGGGGGATCATAGATGAGACTGTTGGTGCCTATTTCATATTCCCCTGACCTTTGTGCTTGCTTTATTTACTTTAGGTTTTTCTCTGCCTCTGAAGTTTGCTCTGCCTGCCCAAGAGACAGATTAAAAATGTTGAGGAAAATATCCCTTAGGAAGAGCACATCATCAGTGATTGACAGAATATGATGTATAAACAGCCCAATCCCCTTATTTATTGGGATCTGTGTGTGCTCTGTGTTGTCTCTGACCACAGTTTAGCAGGGTTGGGCTCCAATTGCCTGTGGTAACTGGGTTGATAATGACATACCCTACATTGACTTCATTCTGTTTCCTCACTCTGTTGAGGTCTCTTCTACCTTTCAAGCATACTATTTACATCTAAATCTCATGTCTTCAGGTCTATTCCTGGGGGGAGTACAAATAAAGAGTGAGGGGCTTTGCTTCAGTTTCAGTGCAGACTCTGAGAGTTTGTCCTAAACAAGTAAGCTATAGTGGTATTATAAACTGTCCAGGGATGCCTTGGCTACTTGGATCATTAGTGATTATCTGAAGTAGAGTCTCCTACTGAAATTAGGAATTAAAAGGGGGTATTTGAATGGCTTTGGGGGGCTAGAAGTGGATAAACATGAGAGATGCTTGTTGGGATGGCAGAAAGAAAAGTTAGCTGACAGGCAGGATGGAGCCAAGAGGTCAGGTGAACATGAGGACTTCAGAAAATAACAAGAAGATTTTTTATTCCAGTAGAGAAATCAGTAAGATGTCATGGATGAGAAAAGGAAAGTGTAGAACAGGTGTGCTGCATAGCTCTGTCAGTGAGGCTGGGCTAAGCTAATGCTGGAGGACCACTGGGCATGGTGGAAGATTCCCAAGCATCTCTGAATAGTTGGGCCGTTGAGATACATTCCAGTTTTGATGCTCAGTAGCTCTGTGAAGTAGGAGGGCACAGACCTACCCAGATTGTGAAACTGATACCCCATCTGAAGGGGACTTTATCTCTTTTACTCTGGTCAATTTTTGTATGTGTTATCTTTTAAGCTTAGTGTTGCTAGGCTTTTGGATTTTCAAAAAAAGCTAGAGATTAGACATTTTATGTAAAATTGCCTAGTTCTGTAATTAACAAGAGTGTCAAATATGCTTTGTGTGAATGATGTCTATAGGCCACCAGTGAATAAATCCTATTCTATATTCTTCTTCACGTGCTGTATTTCCAATAAATGCTTCCAGAATTCTATAGCTATGCCTAGTGGGGAGGCCAGTATGGAAGCAAACAGAGTGGGAACAAGTCAAGGAGATCTGCCACTTTATCCACTGCTAAGCATAGTAGTCACAGGGAGATGGACTCTTTCAAAGAAGGAGACAAAAGGGAAGGCCTTTGTCTGACAGTTCTGATGAGGAAGCAGATGTTGGCATTTGCCTCCTAACCTGTGGCTCAGACATAGTCTATAAAAAAGATATTGGTGGGGCTGGGGATTTAGCTCAGTGGTTCCACCACCTGCTTCGCAAGTGCAAGGTCCCGAGTTTGATCCCCGGGACCAAAAAAAAAAAAAAAAGATACTGGTGATTGCGCAGTGCTGCTTGTACTTTGCTTAGACCTCAGAGGTATTGGTGACATAAAGGCTGTGGCAAGGGCCTTGCTGACTTGTGAAGGTCCTGCCTGGCTAAGGGGTGGAATTCTCTGTGGGGTGTGGACCCCAGGAGCATCTGGTAGAACACAGCAGTGTGCCTCAACTCCATTGCAGTACATATTTCTCTCCAAACCCTCTTTGCCTCAACTCCCCTGCAGTGCATATCTCTCCACACGCTGTCATTGGGTCTTGAGAAATCAGTATCAAATCCAAGTAGAATTCCAATGTCTTCACAAGACTTCTTCACCTTTTAGTCATCTAAAGCTGCAATGCTTCTTTATTTAGCACTTCCTCTGTGCCCCACATCCAAGACTGATACACAGAGACTTGGGATGAGGGAGTCTGTCGACTTTATTACCGTGGACTTTCACAGTTGGCATTACCAGTGGGATTTTTCCCTAGGGAGATATGAATGGCTTTAACTCTTGGAAATCAATATTTTGAGTATTTTTTCAGTTTCTGACCATATCTGCAGGGCATGTAACAATGGGGCCCTTCATCTGGATCTGTAGAAGACTCATCCAAAATACCTGGAAATTGAGTCTCATCAGAGATAAGTTTGGAGGAACTAATTTCACATGTTCTGAAGACCATTTCTGACTCTTTGGACCCTACTGATATCATTTTGTCAAAAGTCAAAAGTGAGACTGCTGTGAAAGAAATCCAAATTATCCATGGACTACAGCAAAGTGAAAGATCCCTGTCAGGAGCAATGCTACATAATTTTAGGGTAAAATCATTTGGTTAGCCTAGTTCTCTTGCCTACAGCCCAGCTACAGAATAACTCCAGTTTGGCCCCCGGTCACAACTGAGACCTCAATGATCTAGTGATGCTGTGATTCTCCAGGACAAGAAACATCCTGGGAGCTGAAAACATCCTGGGAGAACAAACATCTACTCAGTTCCTCATTGTTCTTGGACTGGTACATCTTATTCACCCAGGATGTACTGAACTCTCTGCAAGTCATTTGTTACATTTGTTTTTCCCCATGTACTGAATAAAAGGTGCGGTAAACTGGGAGCTTTTGTCTTTGCTGCCCTGAGCAGCACTGATCAGACCCAAAGCTCAGCTTCTTCTCAGTCTCATTTTTCTACCTTTCCTGTAATTCGCCGTGTGCTGCCGTGGCTCACAGGAGACCAGGACTCACTGCAGAGGTTCTGGTAACGTCCCCTTCCCCTGTTCCCTACAGATCCCATCTTCACTCACCGTGTACTCTGGGGGTATCCTGGCACCAAACCCAAAGGCTGGGAACATTTTGTCACTGAAATTAAAACAAGAAAATGAATAAAAGAAGAAATCGCTTTATTTGTTTTTCTAATGAGGAAGAGAAACATGAACTTGCATATAATCTCACTAGACATGTTGCTACACTGCTGGTTTATGCTTCTAGATTACTTGTGGTAATGGAGGATATCAAAAGCAGACATAATTAACAATTAAGAAGTAATCCTCTACATTCATTATAGTCATTAGTCTATAACTTTTTCCACTAACTTTTTGCTAGATTTTATACCAAATATTAAACTGGCGCCAGATTTTATACACCTCACCCTTACTCCGACTTTCAGTTTCCTTTGTAAAGTGATCCTGAATTAGGTAACTGCTACAATGGACTGTATTAGGAACTTTCATATAGATAATCTTTAAAATTCTTTTAAATGAGAAATTATTATTCTCATTTGGCACATGGATAAACACCTTGAGGAGTAATGTGACTTGCCCATGATGATACTGCTAATTAGAGCCAAGGATCAGACATGAAAAAGCTTGAATTTAAGGAGATATTAAAAAGCAGTAGAAAGATTATAAGGCTGGCTATTTGAAAAAGTATAGCTTCACTTATTCATTGTGTCCACTACCTTGTCACATATAAATATCTAAAAATTATTTTTGTCTTTTCTTATTTCCTGAACTCAAAGGGACTCTGTCTTTTGTATTAACAACTTTACATCTCCACTCCTCTCTCCCCTTAACTGCCCTTATTCCTACCTTCATCCTTGTACCTGCCATAGAATGTGTGCCCAGTAAATAGTCAATGATTAGATAATCCATGAATTTGATCTTGCAAATAAGGCCATGTAAAGAAGTTAGAATTATGAGAATGCATGAAAGTCACATAAATGTCTTTTTGCTTGGTTTTTCTACTGCACATTGGAATTTTTCTAATTTATTCATTCATGTGTATTGTAGCTTTATTATACTATTGGTAAGTGGATGGAGAAAAGAGTAATTAACATTTATTGGCATATACACCGTGCCAAGATCACGCTAGGTAATGCACACGTTTATTTAATTCTCATCTGAACCTGGAAGTTTCACTTACTTATTATTTCCACTTCACAGACAGATACTTGGAATCTCAGAAAGGCTATATGGGCTAAAGTGATTACCAAGGAGTACTGTGTGATTCCAAAGCCCATGCCTTTCCTATGACACCACTGTAATTTAATGACTGTATGTAGTATTAAATATGATTTCCTACTGGCAATTCTAGAAGGTAGGCTTCCTGACTAGACAACAGATAACACCTCCCTTAAGTAGGTAAGTGCTGTCAGGGAGGTACTGCAGTGGGCCTCTGGAATACTGATCTCGGCAGAGGGGCATGTCCTTCTTAGGCCATACATCTTTTACTCCCTCTCCCATTAAAAACACAACTGTAAGTTTTTCTTGAAGCAATACCTACATTTATCAGTTCTTGATAGTCAGGAGGGAAAAGAACTCAAACAGGGCTCACTCCTGAATATCTTCTATAAGCAAAAGGGAGCATTACTCCTTCCTCTGGTCCACTTTCCCAATCAACATAATGAAGCCACATTCTCACCCATCACCACTACCTGATTTAGTAATTAGTAAACATTGATGGCTTTGACAAAACTACCAAAATACTGTCAACTTGAAACACTTGCAGTTAGAGATGTAAGGAAGCCAGCAATCTTTGAAATCAAAGTCTAAACTCTCTAGAAAATCACCAGCTTCCCTTTTTTTTCATTGTTGTGCTGATCCAGGCTCTGCTATGGATTGCATCTAGCATGTATTAGAGAAAGTATTCATGCTGATAAATAGAAACTCAAAAGAGTCTATAAAAGATTAGCTACAGCTCTGAGAAAATATACTTCTGTTTCTTGGAAATATTGAAATAGTTTTCTTCGGCAAGTTTGAAGGGCGAGGGGGAGAAACTTGTCAGTAGATTTAGAAGAATGCACTGTTTCTTCCAACTCAAAGATGGCTCAGAAGTCAAAACAAAGAAACCTGGGAGGCTCCACACACTTTATTTTCTTTTTTGATGAGATCTAATATTTTATCCATTTCTAATCACTAAACCAGTGTCTCAGTCTTAATGATATTCCTTTTATACCCTCTAAGCCACCCTTTGGGATTTCAAGTTTGTAGACATGATACATTGTTATGTAATTGAGTTTCAAGAATAAGAAGGTAGGGAAAATGTCTCACCTACAAGGGGAATAATTAATGAGCTAGGAGGGATAAATTCTCTGAAGTTAGCCACCACAAAGCCTCTAACTAATAAATGTACTAAAGAAAAAATTTCAAGCGTAAGCACAATAGATTTAAACATCTATTCTTACTGTTTCAAAATAAAATCAGGCAGGAAGAGATCTTGTGCAAGAAGTAAGAGAAGACAAGTTGAGCTCAAAAGAATGCATCAGGATGCCAAATTTTGAAACGCTGTATCATCACATGAGTAAAGGCAACATTTGTTACTGTTAGAATGAAATAATATAAAATACAATAAAAGGGCCCATGATCTTCAAGGGTAATGAGTATACTGTCTTAGGAAATAACCATGTCAAATGATCTCCTCGTAGAAAATTCTTTTTTTTTTTTTTTTGGTACCGGGGATCCATCCCAGGACCTTGCACTTGCAGGGCAGGTGTGGTGCCACTGAGCTAAATCCCCAGCCCCAGAAAATTCATTTTAAACCAACATTTTAGCTTCAACTATTAAGAAAAACATTGAGTTAAAGCAAGAAGTTAATAAAAGCAAAGGAAAAAATCACTCTATCATAAGGACTTAATAGTATTTCAGAGCATCTAAACATTTAATAAATACTGTTTTTTAAAGTAGCCATCTTAAAATTGAGGTAGATGGAAATGCAAAGCCCTTCTGGAGATATGAAGGTATGACTTTTTTTTTCTTATTTGAAGGAACATCAGTATTCAGTTCCTCTATTCCTGTATGTAATCTCTACTGAAGTTGATCTTCTGTGAGTACCTATGGGGGAGAGATCTGTTCTCCATTTACACTTTTCCTTTCACAATTGCCATTTCTCTTTACCTGTTCTGAATCTTAATCACCATGGCACATTGCTTCAGTGTATAAAAACTTTGCAGCATCAAACAAAAGAAGTATTCTAAACATGAATGAGGCAGTAGGAAACAAATCCTTTTGCAAGTTAGGTAGTTGGGGCCGGAGATTTATCTCAGTGGTGCTGCGGCTGCCTCGCAAGTGCAAGGTCCTGAGTTCAATCCCCGGTACCGCCAAACAAAACGAAACAAAAAAATTATAGGAAGTGCTAATGTTAGCTGGTAGATCATTAAAAATGCAGTTTGATTATTGATCATTATTTTTTTTTGTATGTAACTTGGAATTGAAGGAAATGAGTAACAACGCTAACCTAACTCTTTCTATTTCCATATTCTTGCTTACAAGAAAAGGTTTTCTTAGGATTTTTTCTTGTTGACAACAAAAAAATTGGGATTAAGTTGATGCTAGACTCTCCCATCCTAGTGATAAGTAGCTCTCATCCATAGATATATAAATTAACTGGGAAGACTTCACACTATTTCAGTAAAAGCTTGTTTCTAGTAAGCTTCTACTTTTCACAGACAATACAGTAAGTACCAAAAGCCCTAATGCTTTTTTGATCAATTATACACTAATAATAAATTGTAATAAAAATTCAACCTAGAAGATATTTTTAAATACTTTGAATCTTTTCATCATAAAATTTTTTTGGAATTAAAAATTAACTCTAGCTAATTTAGTATTCATATTTTATTATAGAAGTATATGATACAATGATCAATAAAAGGATTTAAAATCAAATTTATTGTTACATTAGTATAAAATTCCATGGAGGAAGGAATATGGAAAATGAATTGGTGAAAAAGAAGAAACAATTAAAATTGTCAACTGAACTGAAGAACTTGTTCAATTATTTTTTTAAAGGGATGATGGTAGATATCAAATAGCTATGGTATTTAGATTGTACTGGATAGTCACAAGGGTCATATAAGAGTTTATTTTTAAATGTCCATATTTATAATACTCTAGAATTTTCATTCTTCATCACTATTTAAGTTGGAGAATGTTAGATTTCAATGCAAAAATGTGTGAGGGCCACACACATTTTTGCAAAATTCTTTTTAGGTGTGAATGAACAAAAACTATTTAAAGATCATTGTTTCAAGATAATTTCCAGATCTGACATTGCAATTTCTTCTCCTTTGTGTTCAATTTATTTTCTAAAAATAAATTTAGAATATTAAATAATGTCTTCCACCACTTACTACTTACCACAGGCAGAACCTGTTTTAGCTAGCCACTTTAAATCCAGGCCTTACAACTGCATGCAGGGAAGTTAACTACATCTTCCATTTTCAGTCAAAGACACTAAGACCCAGAGACTATAAATTTCCTGAGAATAGAGGTAGCAGAGCTGGGATTTGATTAATGGTTACTTGTCATCAGGACTCTGTGGTCTTTCATTCATCCCTGCTGACTCTGTCCTCCACAGAAGGCTATTTTGGTCCATCCCTGTTCTAATAGTGAAAAAGGGAAGAACAGGAAGAATTCTGAACAGCCTAGAAGCTGCTGTCTTCAGGACTGTCTCCTTGGCTACCCCTCTTCCCTCCTTTATGCAGTTCCCATCCTTACATAGGGCAAGGGCATTGGGCTGTGATTTATCCATTGTCTTTCTCTCCTATAAGACTGTGAACCACTTGTGGGGGGACCTGCTTTACTAGTTTTTCTGTCTTTACAACATCACTTGAGGTGCCTGGCACTTAGTAGGTACTGCAAAGGGTCTTAGCCATCCCAATTGACTCATCTCTTCCAATTTAACTCTGACTTTCAACCCTGGATACCTGTTAGAATAAAAACATCCTGGTTATAGGATACACAGGAGACAGTTACATCACAGTCCCTGGGGGGGGTAGGCATTAATATATTTTAAGGTTTTCCAAATGGTTTCAGTGTGCAACCAAAGCAAAGAACAATTGAATGGCACTGGCAGAGTAGAGAAGGTAGCACTGTGATGTGATCTCATCTTCTGATTACTAGCTCAATGCTTTACATTTGAAAACATGTTTCAGATTGGGTTTTCAGTTTTAACCTTGTCTCCTAGCATACTACACTGTGAAGAAAGACTCCTGCCTAAGTTTCTGATATTCCTGTCTCATTCTGAGTTGGTCACTTCCATAAACTGGGAATCTGTACTTCCAAGCAATGTATTCAGTTTCAGTACTCTCTTAATAGTACATAGGTAACCCATTTTGAGTTGTCAGAGACTCACATTCCTGCTGGCCTCAAAGAAAGAATGTCACTTGGGCTTTAAGTGGTGTGAGGAACTAGGATGCTTACAGGAGCTGGGGAAGTTCCACAACCGGCAGGGGTGCATGAGCTTGTGTGGGCCTGTAAGTGTGTGTGCCATGTCCCTGCATGTATAGTTATGTTTGCACACATGCATGCCTATTTGCATATGTGCACATTTGTGTATGTGTGTGTTTGTGCACATACACACCTGCATGCATGTGTTTGTACACATATGCATCAGTGGATCTTGGGGAGGTGGGTAGAGAGTATGAGCAGCAGGCTTTCTTTCAGAGGCTGAGGGACAGCACAGGCGAGCAGGATTGTCTTCTGAGCTTGAGGACCAGCTATTTACAGAGACCTTCCTTTCAAGGCCACCCAAAGAAGAGCTTTTTGTACCTTTCAAGCTGTTCTACTTCATGGATCACCTTATAATGACCCAGTAGCGATGAATGAACAAGGCAGAAAGAAAACCCTTGGTTGTCAGAGGCGTGGAGGAATTTCTAAGGCTCATGGGGATTAAAAACCTGATGGGAAATGATGCCTTCTGTCAGTTTTATTCAAGTGTTTCTTTTTAAGCACCAACCTCACTGACTTTGATTCTAGAATAAATTAATTCCAATGCCCCAACTTGAAATTTCCTGACTCTGCCTGTCTATTGTTTATCCACCCACACAAAGGAAAAACTACAGAACCTTGTCAGTTTTCAAATGAGCAGCTTGTGTTACACATTCTTCTAGGGAGTCTTTTAAAAGAGTATCAAGGTTTTTCAATCCTTTTCTTCCTTAGCATTTGCCCATTTTAACGCTGAGCTGCTGTCTTTATACAAATATGTATATTGCTCCACTGAGCGCAGAAAGTTGATTTTCTTGGCCAGTTGGGGATGATAACTTCAGACTTGCCCTAATTCAATTTTAAAAATCATCATTTATGGTGATACTTTGTATAAGCTAAGATGTTCTATCTTATTTTTATATTGAATCTTCCTTTTTGAAGGAATACAAAATACTCCCTAGAGTTTGTCTGGTTCCAATTTTACAGGGATAAAAGTTTTATAAGACATACATGTCACTCTGACTATAGTATCTGCATTTTGCAGATGAGGCACCTAGGAAATTGAGATTCTCAACAGAGGGCATCCAATAAATGCTGCCTGATAATACATAAGTATCCAGGTCACTCTATAAATCTGCTGCAGAACCACAAATGAGAGCTCTTAGCCTCACATCTTAATTTCTTGACAATTCACCTATCTTCTCTGTGGAATTCATGATTGACTGCTTTCTTCCCTGCAGATTTAGAGACAGATGCATTGACCTACTCTATTATTTATTTATTTATTTATTTATTTATTTATTTATTTATTTTTGAGATGGGATCTTGCTATAAGGTTCAGGCTGGTCTCTAATTTCTAGATTCATGTGATCCTCCTGCCTCAACTTCCGGAATAGGTAAGACTACAGGCATACACCACTATGCTAAGAAAACTTTTATCTTTAAATATGCACTTCAAGATTTAAAAGTTTGGAATCCTGAAAACATTCTCCCCTTCTTCTTATCTTTACATATGTACACGTTATTATACTAGATTGCTAACACGTATGTGTCTGTATGAGAAGGAACAGAAGGAGAAAAATTACTATTTTTATGTCTTGGGGAAGTTTGAAGGAGTTTCCAAAATAGTGGAGGTGCAATTTATCAGACTTTTTTCTCCACGGTAAAACGTTCCATGTAACATAAATTTCTTTAGGAGTCCTCCCTGTGTTGGGGCCTCAAGAAATCAGAGCTGAAACTCAAGTTATCTTCACAGTCTGTGTCTCAAGGTTAAGTATAAGAAATGTTGCTTTAGCAAGGTAATGAGAAATGACTATTGATTGCCCTGTGTGCATAAAGGAGGAGAAATGTCAATGAGAGCCTGAGTTTCGGTGCTCTTTGGTTTTCATTCCCCAATTGCCCTCATGCCCCATTTGATTTACTGGAGATGACCAGGCTGACTCCAGAGACACCAGCAGGGAGGAGAGTACTGGGCATGTCATGTCTGTTTCTCTGTACCTTTTGGCCACCAGGACATGTCATTTTCCATGGGGTGTGAGGTAGCAAAGTTTTAAGATGGTTATCACCAATTAAAAGATGAGAAAAACAGAAATCATGCTATCCTACAAAATTTCTGTGAAACCTGGAGGATAGCACTGTATTTTCTATTTTCATCTCTTACAAGGTCAATTAATTGCTGCTCATTACTAACTAGCCTTGTTTTATAATCACTCTGGGGAATCACCTGATATTTGTGTGTATTTATATTTACATTGGTTTTGCTTCAAAAACTTTTCTTCAATAAACACCTGAATTCCTTCACTTCTATGTGGAAACTGAAACAGCAGAATAAATTCACTTTAATGTAATTTATGTAAATCACTTCTTACAGAGAATTCTCTTGTTGGTAAAGGTCAATATTTACCATCAAGAAAAATAAATAATACTGATCTGTTCTTTCTTTCTCTCTCTTGTATATATATGTATATGTTATGTATATATATATGTTTATGTATATATACATATATATGTGAATATGCATATGTATGCATGCAAACACACACACACACATGCATGGCTGCATAGATGTGAACCTAGTAGATATCACTGCTAAAGTTACCAATAGTTTTTGGAACCTATGAAACACAGTCATTATGGATTTAAGCCATGGGATGAAGTAGATCTGGGTTCAAATCCTGCCTCTGGCTGTGTGACAGTGCACAAGTTACTTAACCTCCTTCTATAGTTCTGCTGCCTTTTTAAAACAGTATCTACTATATTAGGGTATATATAAGGGTTAAATGTAATAACATCCAATAAACCAATGCTTCTAAAAGTTCAAAGTGCAAACAAATACATAATCTGGGAAGCTTGTCATGATGCACAATCGAATTCTGTAGGTCTGGAATGATGCTAGTCCATGAGCAAACTTTGAGTGGCAAGGTACATACTAAGATTCAAAAAAAACCCCGAAACAAACTAAAACAGCTAGCCAGTGATCTTGCAAGTCAATGAAAAGAAGGATGATGAGAAAGACATCAGTGACTAATGTGAGGATGGCACAAGATCAGTTTCTGTAGGTGTTTGGATGAGATGTTTGGGACAAGATTTTATTCTGTTCTTTTGTGAGCTTCTGCATTAGAAGATGTTGGATTTAATTCCATACTTATGCCAAGAATCAGCCATCTAAGCCTATTTGAGACATAAAAAGGCTTCAGCTGATTAGAAATCTCTTACCTGTCATAGTCTTGGCAAATCTCCCCAACAGCCACCAAGGCCTTCAGGTACTCATTGGGTTGGTAAGGGTGGATATAATGCAGGGAACAGCTGTTTCTGGGGTCCCCATTTGAGGCAGTGAAATCTATAGCTACCTGGAAGAGAGGAACAAGTGCAATTAATGAGAATGCATGTTTTAGAGATTGTGATTAGCCATGAGACATGACCTCAGATGGAAAAAGGCAGCCCATTACAACGTGCTAGTAAGAAAAGTAACAGAAGAAATTAATTTGCTTTTTGTCAAATCAGTTATCGATTTGGTTGAGGCCATTTCTGCAGTGCTTAATGCCCCTCTCTTGAGCTCTCCATTCTCCCTATCCAAAACGGAACTTGAGACTCACATGCAGGTCAGAAAGCTCAGTCACTATTGATCCATGTCACCAGGCACCAAGAGTAAGAACAGAGCATATGACTTCCAATTTTACAATTCACTAAGAAAAGACTTCTGTGCTCCCTGGGCAGAACAATTCCATTTCTGAAGCATAGGTAAATACTTAAAACCACATTCTGTGTTGTAGATAGTCTTCATAACAAAGCCATTTTCATATTTCCACAAATGGCCAGTTGCACAGAGATATGTTGAAGTGTTTTCTGCAAGGAGTGACTCTGTTTAAGGCATTCAACTTTTGGGTTTCCATTCATGCAAGAATTCATTCTTCTACAAAAAAGCAGGTGCTTTAATATCTTGGCATCATGAGTGGGGAGTAGAAACAGAAACTTTCATCTGGCCACTAAGTGATCATTATCTTTCAAGTTCTTAAATTTTTTTGACCCCACCAACTCATATCACCCAAATAAAAGTTGACTCACCAAGCAAGCACTTAACAACAACAACAACAAGAACAAAAACAACAACAATAAATGTTTAAGCCTGAGAGTGTTAAAATGAGAAGGAACTTGCTTGTGACTTCAAAGAGCAGCACTACCTAAATAAAAGTTAAGTCAGCAAAAACCTCGCAAAAACGGCTTAAGCTTTAGGAAGAGGAAGTTAAAATGAGGAATGATAGGAGAACGAAATGTTTGTGTTGCATCTTTTCTTCTGGGAACAGTATACATTCACTGGCTTTCTTCTGAGAACAGTAATACATTCACTGGCTTAGTGATGTCAGGAAGGCTCTATTTTCTCATATGACCTTGGGGATCATAAAGTAGGAAATGTTATGTGTGTTATATTTGCCAACCTCCATTATAATAAATAATTGGAATGTTCTATTGGATTTATTTAAATGGGACATTATTTCTGGAAGGATGAAGAAAAGGACGTGGGTCTTTTCTCCTTTTTTTCTCATATTGGGGATTGAACCCGGGGCCTTGTATGTGCTAGGCCAGTGTTCTACCACTGAACTACATCCCTGCCCTTTTCCCTTTTCACATTTTGAAACAAGACCTCGTTAAGTTGCCCAGGCTGGCCTCAAATTTGTGAGCTTCTGTCTGAGCCTTGGGGCAGTGAGACTTGTTGGTGCTCTTAAAAAGTAAAACCAACAGGAAGACATTTTACCTGTGTCCAATATGGGAGCCTTGCGATCAAGTCAAAGTGACAGAAAAAAAGAGCAATAGGTTATACGTAATTCACATATAGATTTGTTCTTTTCTTTCATGAAGTCATTTTTTTCATCACCAATTTCTTTTTCCTTTTCTTCCTCACTCCCCTGAAGAGTAGGGTTTAAAATTAATTGGTAGGACTTAAGCTCTGTTTTCAGATCACCCAGATGTTTTACACAAGGGATACTGAGTGATGAACTGCAAGCACTAACAATATGTTAAAAGAAAGGTCCTGGGAAGGAAAACTGCAGGACCTCCCTGACTCAGGGATGCCTGACTGTGCATAACAAAACAAAAGAGGAGCAAAACTCTTCTCTGTGCCAGGCCCTGTGCTAACAGCTTTGCAGGTATTATGCTTTCATTTTCATGAAGCTTCCACCAGGTAAATGCTATTCTTTTTTGTTCATGGCAACAGTGGTGCCCAAAGGTGATGAGTTCACACAAGTAATATGGGTAGATCTGGGTTTAAATCCAAAAGTTATGGCTCCAAAGACTATCTCTCATTATCACACCACATTATACATCGAAAAGAATGTGCAAGTTTGTAGCCAGTGTAACAAGACTTCTCATGAGCACAACAATTCCCATAAAATAATGATTCGGCTTAGAGGTAGGGAGACCAGCTAGGAGGCAACTATAATAATTTAGGAAAGAATGATCTTGAATGAACAGTTCTTTGAGACTAAAATGGCTATAAAATTCAGAGAAATGCAATCAATGTGTGGGTGTGTGTACGCATGACAGTGGAAAGATATGTTACTGAGGATGATTAGAGGTGACTTAGAGAGCAACTAAATACAGTCTTCTGAGATGGGCTTTATCCTGAAGGCCACAGCCAATTCACTGGAAAAAGAAAGGAAGACAATAGGTGGATATCCTTTTAATCAAAGACTGCGATGAAAAGCTAGTAATGCGGAGGAACCTACATGTATTTTGTGCTCAAGAAGGACATATAAAGTACCCTGGCATCTACTCATAAGGATCTGACCAGACAGAGGTCAAAATACACACAAATAATTGCAGGAAAACGTCTCTACGCAGTAAACTCAAGAGAGATAGAGTTTGAAGAGATCATACTCTGGGGGCCTCCTGGGTTTACTCCTAAGTCCAAAACACAGATGCTCCACCCTCAGTCTTTTTCTCCTGATGAGACACACACAGGGACAATGGCGCCTCACGCTTACACATGGGACTTGGAAGGTAAAGTAGTGCTGGGAAAACCTGGTATAAAGTTGCCCCCTTCTCTCACTGAAGAAAGTATTTTAAAACACTAGGAAATTCTGGAGAGTACGAAGAGGTTGCATAGATATTACCTTGGTTCTACTCTAATTTATCTAATAAAATAAATCACTGGTAAATAGAAATATTTTATTATTATTTTTATTGCAATGATGCAGATCCAAAGGAGTGCCTCATACATGGTAGGCAAGCTCTCTATCATTGAGCTCGAACCCCAAATCCAATATTTAATTACTAATAATGACTGTCTGTGACTCACCTCACTCTATGATGCCGTTAATCATGGATCACCACAGAAGATATCATACCTGTGCTTTTTAAAATCTATTCCATGTGCTAGTTACCTGACTGAGACTCCTTAAGTGTCAAATGTGTTGTGTGATCACAAAGGCTGCTATCTTGATATAAAACTAGAGAATGAAATCAGGTAATGAAGATGGGGGGGATATCCATAAAGAAAAATGGCAATTAAAGAAACATAACTGAGCCTCTTATTCTGCCTAGCCATGGGCAAGATCCGCTAAGCCTGCAGCCACCAAGTGGCAGCACCTGAGCCCAGGTGATCACCTGGATGTGTATGTCATGATATCCAGAGAGGTGTGTCTCATGTCTGGATGATCACAGATTTTGGCCAAAATATATTTTTAAATATTTTAAAAACATATCACAGAACTAGGACTGGGGTGTACCTTAGGTGTAAACCCAAGAAGGCACTCATTCTTAACCGACCCTAAATCTGCACGATCCTGAGAGTGAAGCCTCCTTAAAATTTCCATTCCAAGTTCCTCTTTTGCCTTTTCCTCATCCTGGCCTATTATATCAGTTTATTTCTAACAATTCTTCATCATCAGGCTTAGAGGAATTTATTTTCAACAAGCTTGGGTGAGGCAAAGATGACAATGATCAAGGAATTGAGAAGGGGCTTGTGATTGAAGATATTAAGTGTAGAGAATGAATAGGATTTGGTGACATTTAATGTACAACTGAATGTCAATTAGGGAAAAGGAGCAATCATTCCTTGGGGAATAGAAGACAATGCTACATCTTGAGGGTAACAGAACAAGGTGAAGGCTGGGGTTAATATTGGGCTGCCTGAGCATAGTGGTGCTGCATAGACAGATAAACTTGGTTGTGAAAAAAGTAGAAATTTTACTTTTTTCCTGCAGAAGGACCTCTAGGGTTTGTGTTTCCCCACCCATGGGAGTGATCCCTTTGTCCACAACAACCAGAGAGGCTGTTCCAGCTCAGGACAGTCTGATATAGGCATGGGGGAGGGTATAAACTTCAAAAGTTAACTGTTGAAAGAGAAATAAATTAGTGATCCCTACCACTTAGCCTTTTCTGTAGTTATGATGGTTCATAAAATTTTTCCCCCATGACTAGATAGTAATGGACAGTCTTAAGTACATGTCAGCTAAAAAGGTTTTTTCCTAGGAAGTGATGGTTTCTAAAGTCTCCATCACAAAGTTGGAGATAAAATGTCTATCTTCAAGAGGTGGCCTTGCACCAGGAATTCTCTGTGCTCTTTAAAGTTAGCATTAGTGGAAAAAGAACAGAGTGAAAGGTTACACTTATTTTAGAAGCAATAGGGAGGCAGGGAATGATGGGATAAAGTCAAGAAATAAGAGCAAGAAAATGACTGAAAAATGCCAGTTTGTGGAGGTGGCTACAGATGCCTGGGTTCTGTGAACTTGCAGAAACACCACGTTTTCATTTTCTGATATGAAGCATTTTTGAAAACCTGTGGTTCTGGTATGTGCTCCAATATTCTCAGCAAGCAGCCTAAGAATAGGCATCCATTGCTTTTTGCTTCTGCCCAGGAGGCCGTTCTCATTATTGAGTGGAACTGTAGAGCAGCTTTGCAAAACTTTGTAAAGTAAGAATGCAAAATGCTCCCTCAATGCCACCAAGTCCCCAGTGCCTGGCATTATTTCTGGGAAAAGTCTGAAAGTGCATGACGAATATCTTTCTTTGTCATTTTTTAACTTCACATATGAAACAACCCTACTGTTCAGATCCTTTCCCTTTATGAGGTTTTTGGGAACCTTTTTAATGTTTTCTAAGGGAAGCCTCTATAAGCAACCTTCATTAGTTGCTGTATCTCTCTTATTATCTGTAGTCAGACATTTATGATATCACATTCTGGAGCAGCTTTTTAAAAAGATTTGTGCACAATTTGGACTTATAAAATGTGCTTTGTAGATGGACATATTGTTTACTCTAGACCATTTCTTAAATGATAGGCTAAATTCTTATTCTTCTCTATTTCCAAAAATTTTCATAAACAGGCTGTGAAACAAGAACATAAGAAAGG